CAGTCCAACATAACATACACACAACCCAACAAAGCAGAACACAATCCAACATAACGTACAACCCGACAAAGCACAGCACATTTCATCATAACAGACAGACAACCCAACACAGCGCAACACAATCCAACATAACATGCTCACAACCCAACAAAGCAGGACACCATCCAACATAACGTGCACAGAGCCCAACAAAACCTTAACACAGTCCAACGTTACCTTCACACAACCCAACAAAGTGCAGCACATTCTAACATAACAAACAGACAACCCAACACAGCGCAACACAATCCAACACCAGCTCACAACACGACATAACAGAACACAGTCCAACATAACATACACACAACTCAACAAATTACAGCGCATTCCAACATAACACACACAGACAACCCAACACTCGCAACACAATCCAACACAACCTCACAACACGACACCACACACACACACACACTTACTGTACTTGCATAGTGGTTCAATCCGTGGCCTGCCATAGGTGGAGCAGCTTCCAGCGGCGGGCGGACTCGAGTGCCCCTCCACTTTGGTGGTGACGGCTGGCTGCCCGCCCGCCCCGCCACGGAACTGCTCCCTTACCGCGACGGCCTCAGAGAATTCTCCTTAACCAAACCGGCATCAATGGAAGACACCCGTACCTGCAGGGTACCCCGTGTCCACTTCTCGTAAGCATTACTTGAGGGGAGGTCGGCTGGTGGGGAGTCCCCAGCAACAGGCTTGGGTGTCATTTAATTCGCGTGAGTGGTAAAATGGTAGAGATAACTAGCATCGTTGCCTGCTTTGCATTCTCGAGGAATGGACCCCATGGACGCCATGCGACCGGTCCTGTGATGGGGGCGTGGTACTTGATCAGGGAGGGCAGAGCGGATGTGCCCGCATCATTGCCAGATGAAATGCGCAATCTGCCAATCTTGTGTGGCCGCAAACAATCGCTGCCTGACTTAGATGGACTACGGGTGCTTGCAGTTTTCCGTTGAAGCAGGACTTGAGGTTTACCGGCTTTGTGAGGTCAAGCCTATCGCGAACGGCAGCTCAATGAGCCCAGCAGCCCTGACGGCTTCTGCGCTGCGAGTGTGATGAAGGCTCGCTGTCGCCATGGCCTGCAAAGTTGAACGGTCCTGATCGGTGGGTTGACTCATCAGAGTCCTCGAGAGCAGAATGGCAGGAAACCAAAGCGTGCAACAGCCAGCCCTGCTACAACCCAGAGGACTGAGTGCTTGTGTTTTGTTTTCAGCCCAGCCTGGCAGCCTTGCCTTTTGCCAGGAGCATGATTGCATTTTGGAAGACTGGGAGGCCCGTGTTTCCTAGCGCTTCCCTGCCCGGCTGGTGGGGGGGGCAGTAGGTCTATCCCGGAGTGGCGGGCCCTCCTTGATCGGCGGTCGGGAATCAATGTCAGGCAAATGCACATCCATGGGCTGAGGACTTGTTGGAGGTGGCCGCCCTGTTGCCAGGCTTGGGGGCCATGCTCTGCCAAGTGCGGGAAGGGACAGAGGCACCGGGTGAGGCGGGTGCCTGGCCCCCAGGGGGTGGCTGGAGGGTGCGGGTTCACCGAGGGTTGGAAGAACTGGGCACGATGGCCGCTTGAACTCCTTTCGCTTTTGCCAAGGCAGCGCCCAGCCAGTCAAATCGGGAGAGGCTGCGAGGGCCCGATGGAGGAACTTGGCCCCTGCGAGGACCGCTCAAACTGACGGGTCGGGCATGCCAACGACATGCTTGCATCCCTGTTGCCAGAGAGCTGCGGTAGGAAGAAACATGCCAGCTTCTTCTTCTTCTTCTTCTGACATCTTGCAAAAGACAGACTGTGGGAGCAAACTTGGCAGCCAGTGCTGCGATCTTCGACTTTGGCACGGCCTTTGCATCAGAAATTGGTAGCTACTTAGGTTGGGATCCCCTTCTGTTCTGGAAGTTGGCTGATCCCAGGTTGCCCGGTTGGCCGTTTGCAGGACACGCAATGCAACAGACAGGATTGCGCCTGGGGCGATTGGGACCAGTGGTCGGATTGCCAGCTTCTGAGAGACATCCCGCCTACACACTGCGCAGACTTGGTTTGGGTTTCGTTCAGCTCTGGCAAGGGACGATCATGCGAAGCCATGAGCACGAGGCTCTTGCAGCTGCGGAGGAGGTGTCAAGAAGCGTAGCGCTGGCCACGTTTGGAGCGCCTCAATCCGAGAGTCCGAGAGTTGCCATGGGCCAGGGTTGATTGGTATACAGCTCTTGTTGACACAAGCTCCTGGTGCTTTTCTTTGAAAATGGCCCACCCCCTGTGGGCGCAGCCAATCTCCGTTTCCTGAAGTGAGAGGCATCCATTCTTTGGCAGGCAACCGTGTTATTGCGGTGGCGCCAAAGCATGGGGGGAAGCTATGCCCACCCGAAGTGAAGTCGGAGGCGGGGAGTAAGAACACTACTCTGGGCTCAAGCAGGCTTGGAGGGAATGCCACTCTGGGCTCAGGTGGCTGCCTGCAGCGTTCAGCCATGTGACAGAGGATGTGCCACTCAGCACAGAGGAAAGCGTGGTGCCAGCGAATGCGCATTCTATTGCGAAACGAGTGCATCTGAGGTGGATGCAAAGTGGGGTCAATGGCAGGACTCAGAGGGAAGGGCGTATTTTTCAGACCAGAGTGAGAAGAGACCAGCACCCTGATAGGAGTGGTCAACCTGTTCTGCCAGCTGCTCCAGTGGCTACCGCTCGCGAACCCGCTTGATGGAGGCATCGCTGAACACCTCAGTGAAAGATCAACGTCAGAGGCGTAATCGGCCCACAGCAGTAGAATCAACATGCTTGGACACGTGAATCAAGATCGTACTGCTCGTGTACATAACTTTGCTGGGTTGCTTTGCTGGGTTGTGGAAGACGGCCTACCGCTTGCTGGTTGGACAGATCGTTTGTGTCGTGCCGCAACAAGAGTCACAAATGGAATGACCATGAACCCGCGGTTCGTCTGAGGCGATAGACTATTGTACACTTTGATGGCGACCGAAAAAAATGCAGTGATTTTGACTTGTAAATTCGCAACACAAATGCATGGGCTTGCATGGGCCTTTGGCGGAGTCAGCTTGTTGTTGTCAGGAGGAGGCCAACCACTGCGGCAACCCGGTTGGCGGCCTTCGCCAGCAGTTCGAGAGCTGCCCCCTTCCCCCATGTGCCACGGGCTCAGTGGCTGATGCCTCAATGGCAAGCAAGGACCTTGAAGCTTGTGTGCCTTTGGGTGGTCAATTGCATCGGTGGAGACCAGTTTAATGCAACTTGCAAAGTCTCGCTGCCCCGCCACATCTCGGTTGCCTGCCACAATGCATTTCCGTTTGATTTCTGCATCCCCTTGATGACACTCTTCAGCATCACGGAGACCTGCCCGCACCATGTGGCATTCATGAATGTCAGCAACTGACAAAACTATCGCCAGTTTTCCGTTGCTTTGCGGAGGACTTCGCATACCTCATTTCTCACGTCAAGGTGATTGGCACAATTTCCCCACCCATTTGGCAAACATGTACTACTTTCGGCCGGCATGACAGGATGCTCAATGCGTGCTAGTGAGTTGATAAGTTTCTCCGAGACTTGTTGCACACCGCCAACTAGCCAAGCGCTTTTCTGCCAATTGCCGTTGATTATTTGCCAACTGAGTTGCTCCAATGTGCCCATTAGCCAATGGTCTTCTCCAGGTTTTCTTGATTTGTGCCTTGGCACCTGGCGCTTCAGGTGGCTGACACGGATTGCGAGCTCTCTATGTGGGCGAGCTGGTCCCAGTGCAGCTGCGCCGGCCTTGGATAGGAACACGAGGCTACGCCAAAAGGCTTCCCCATTTTGCGAGACCACCAAGACAAGTATGCTTCCAACAGGACAATTAATTCGGGACAAGGGCATTTCAGGAAAGGTTCAATAATGCGAGGTGGAAACACCAGTAGATCATGATGGATGGAAAAAATGCACTTTTGCCGTTTTCCTTTCCAAGGAGAGAGGGCTGGGGCAAATCCACCAGAACACTGGTTGTTTCCTGCTTGAAGTGGGGGCCTCTTTTTCTGCTGAAGGCAGACATGGCAGGCTGTGAAGAGGCAGGCGAACATCAAGCCAGGATCCGACATGTTGAATATCTCTCACAATAATACGCGCCCCTTTGCATTGCTGAATTGGGAACTGTAGCCACAAGCCATGGCACATTTGGGGGCCGTTTGATATTCATAAGACGCCCATTTCCGAGGCTCCTGCTTCGGCATTCGAGAGCGAAGCCGGTTCATCAAGACCTTCGCTTTTGGGAGCGGAAAGCCACTTGGTTTGGAGCAGCGCGAAGTGTCATTGCAGTCGGGTTCTTTTGGGATTGTTTGAAAGGAAGGCAACTTAGACCAATTATCATTTGCGGATTTGGGCTTTTTCTTGGGTGGGCAGTCCTTAGCTACTTAGTTCTCACAAGCGGAGGTCGAAGCTGTGTTGTCTCATGTTTGAAACTTTATTTCGAGTTGGAGGACGGTTTGCTGCCGGGAATTGACTGACCTTTATGTCTCTATGCGGCAGTCAAGGGTGAGGAGCGTGAGAGGTGACCATTGGTCCCCAAATGAGCAACAGTCCCGTGAGCGCCATCGGCTTTTTAGAGGCTCACGCTAGCCAATGCTTACCAATGCTTAGGCAAAAAAGGGGACCGGGTACTTGTCACATTGTCAATATCTCACGCAGTGCACATGAGCATGGCTCGGTGCAGCCGTGACCAAGGCCATGCGACGGGGAACCTCTGAAAGTGATTGAAGCTTGCAACGATGATGACAAGGTGGGGGTGCACTGCTTACAGGGGAGGCAGCCAACGAGATGGAAGTGTGCTTGCCATGCTTGTGCTGTTGATAGTCAAGTTGCAGTGAGTGCTAGTAGCATGCTATGGGGCAGCTGTTTGGGCTTCCTGGAGATGAAAGCGTAGAGTTGAAGGTGCCATGGCTGCAGCCTTCGAAGGGATACTGGACCATTATGCAGTGTTAGGACTGGATCGCCGTTGCACTTGTGCCGAGATTCGCAAAGCATTTCGGGCCACGGCTTTGAAGTACCATCCTGACAAAGCTGGCAGCTCGCCGGAAGCTCGCCGCTGTTTCCAAGCAGCTGCAGATGCCTATGAGGTGCTTGGCAACGAGCAGAGGAGACAAGCCTATGATGCTCAGTTGGCTGCCATGCGTCCCGATGCAAGTTGCAGGCAGGCTGAATCGCAGGGCTATCCATTTCCACAGCCCTCAGGCTCACAAAGGCCAAGCCAGCGACATGGACAGGGCAGACCGCCGGACAGGCCAGACACGTGGGATAGGTCTGCCAGGCCGAGATCCAGCAGACCTGACAGACCTAGGCCTGATAGGCCTGATAGGTTTGATAGGCCTGATAGGCCTGGACCAGACAGGTATACACAGGACAGGCCTGGAGAGAGGGACAGGGCGGCTCAGAACTTTTGTGCGCAGCCTGACACCAGACCAACTGCTGCGGAATTGCATCATGGATTCAGCCAGCCCTTCCGCGCGACTGTGTCTGACCTTCAAACACTGGCAACCTTCTCTCATGACGGAGCGGTCTGGCTGCCCAAGGTCAAGGATGTGAAGTGGTGTAGGCCAAATGGTGACGCCGGTAAAGTGCAGTTGACATATACTGCCGACTATTCGTCTTCCAGAAGTAGAGGGCGCGTGCCCTTGTTGCAGCTTTTGCAGACATCGAGCTGCGATGCTTTGCAAACCTCGTTTCAAGAGCACCTCGATCGGGTTGCGGGCTGCTGTGCCTACAGACACTTCCGCATGCAGCTGCTCGAGTTTCCGGGCCACGATCTGCAGTTCCGCGTAAAGCTGTGGCTGGAGGGTGGCTTGGTTCTTAACTCGATGTTCCTCCTTGGTTGAGTGCCGAAACCCAAGTTATTGCCGGAATAGGGTTCTTAAGAGTTATTTGGAATTATAGCTTTGCCAATGGCTTCGGGAGCTGGCTAAGGTGAGACCAAGGACTTACTCAAGAGCTTCGACACGGCCTGGGAGCTGGCGCCGCGGAAGATGAAGGACTGCCCGCTGATGTAAATCTCCTCCAACACGTTCTTTTCCTCGCCCGAGGTTTCAAGGGCAAAAGGCTCTTTTCGCCTTGGAGTATTTTCGCACATTGTCTCACGCGGACTCGCCAGCGCGGCCTGATCCGCTTCCATTTGAAATTCCAACCGAAGGATTCACTGCCTCGGTTTTTAGAATCAGCGCAGTCATGGCAATGTCATGATTTCACTGGTTTTCGCTCGATCAAGTTGTCTCCGCCATCGCAACATGTCTTAGAGCTGCACACGGCAGTTGGAACGCACTGGCTGGCTGGTTGTCGGTCGCGATGGTTGTTGACGTGCTTAGTCATTGTTCGCAGCGCTGTTTGCAAGCATGACAGCAATTGCAGAGACATTCTAAAGCAATTGAGTTGAGATGCTCTTGGGCAAAGCCGCAGCGCAACGGGAGCCGATTCTCTCTGATAGCTCACCTGGCTTGCAGGTCGGCAGTGCCTGCGGCGAGCCTTTGCCAGAGGCTTGCTTCCTCTTTGGATGAAAAGACTGGGATCGACCAAAGTTCGGGCGGCTTCTGCTCAGAGTGAACTAAATCCATGTTTCCAGAATCCGGGAGTGGACAGTTCCTGGAAGACTATTCTCGAATCGAATCCTGAAAGAACAAGGGCTAGATGACTTGACTTGCCTATGTTTGCAGGTGCCTGCCTGATGGCGCATTAGGTAACTCAGTCGTTATGGCAAGTGTCGTTGAACATCGCAGTGCGGCACGCACATGGATGCGCACTAGCGCAGACGCAAACATAAAACCTTCCTCGTATACGCCGCACCATCGCACCATGCGGGTCCGGTTGCACCTGGTGCCCCACCCACTAAAATGAAGTCCCGAACCCCAATGACTCTCACATTTGCACTGAGCTGCTTTTTCCAGGGTGAGATTTCAGGTCCTTGCCAAGCATCCTTGACAAGCGAGAGGGCCAGGGTTACGGTTGCATCCTTGACCAACACGTGGCCAGAACTGTGAGCTCGCGGAGTGGAGCGAGTGGTCCAAGTGCAGCCTCACCTGCGGCGGTGGCCAGAAGGTCGGGTCGCGAGCGAGTCGGTGTGCCTCACGACGGGGTTGGACCAGTGGGTCATAGAGTGTAGAGGGCCAACAAGGGACGGGGTATTCTTCGTGCGCACCTGGTAAAGTATGTTTTCCAGCTTCTGCAATTGCTACAAGCTCGAGGCGTCTTTCAACAAATAGTCGCGTATGCGGCCCCCAAACTCTACCTGGTGGATTGAGCACCTTTTGCAATGTGAACCTTTTGCAACGTCACACTGCAGAGGAAGACTTGGCAGTCAGACGGATTTCAAGAAAGCGGATTGTCGCACAGGAGCGCAGGCGTGAAATCTTGAACGAGCCCTTCAGGGGTGGAAAGGCGCACCGCACCATATGCTTGCAGCAGCGTGCTTTGCACTTTTGCACTTCACCTCGTTCACTTGTCAGGCCTGTGATGCGGTCCTTGCGATCACCGAGCCGTGCAACACTGAAGTTTGCTCGCCGCAGCCTTGGCAATCTCTGTGAAGTGCCTGAAGCTTGGCTTCCTTTGACCTAGGCCGATTGATTGCCCGGAGCCCAGTTTGCAGCACAGACTTCAGAAGTCAGACTCTGCCTCTTCAGGTCAAGATTGCGAATGGGGTCCTTGGTCCGCATGGGGCGACTGCTCCAGGCCCGCTCAAGTCTTCGGAAGGGAAGCCATTCTGAAACGGTTGGCGGACATGCCTGGATAAATGATGTCCCTGAAAGGGTCCCAATTCAACAATCACAACCAGACTGAGATTTGGCAGCCGACGGCGAATGCTGTCCAATGCTTTTAGACTGGCGTTCAGGGAGGGTCAATCCCCTCGCCAGGTGCGGAGGTCAGCGCTTCAGGCACCGAAGCATAATGAAGATGCCCAACGAGTGTGGCAAGATTTGCCATCCACACAGTGCCCTGTCAGCAGCCAGGCTGCTTGGATCCTCAGAGGGCTTGTAGGGGGTGCCAACTTTTCCCCTGAGACATGAGGATGCTGAACCCTTGGAAGGATTTTGGGAATTCGGCGCAGGGTCGGGCCTGCCACCTTCTGGGCAAAGGTGCTCGAGAGGTCTCCAGCTGCAACAGCGACTGCCACAAGTCGAAGTACTGCGTGCGGCGCTTGGCCTCCGAAATCCTTGAGCTTGTTGATCAGAGAAGCACCGGGAACATGGCTTTTTCTTGCTGCATGTTGCATCTCCCCCCCCAAGCGCTTTTGCACAGCCGGCGTGTGGGGTCATGCGGGTGGCTGCTTTCGAGGGCTGGGGAGTCTGAGACTCGTTTTGTGTAGGCCGTATTATTGATTACATTGTTGTAATCCTTGTAGTTTTGGTCCGATTACTCAATTGGTAGAGCATGCTTAATTTAGCGTGTATTTACATGTGTTTTTTTTTTTCCCCACTGTATGTTGTTACTCACACCAAAGTAGTAACAGACCTGTCGGTCACATCTTCCCCTTTTAAATGTAGGTTTATTTTGAGCGGTAAAATGGCTTCTTTGCCTTGTGCTGTCAGGCAGCAACAACATTCAAGTGCTCCAAACAAATACACATTCCAACTCTGAAGTACACATATCAAATCAAAGGTTCAACTTATATATGTGAGATTTCGGCCTTGGCATTTGAGTCTTGGCATTTGTGAATGCGAATGCTTGTTACTAGGTTTTCGGGACACACATATCCAAATAAATTCACCGTAAATCGGTAGATTTACCTAGGGTGTAGATGCTAGAAGGAGTATTGGCGGACATATTTTGTTACATGAGATCCATTCTCCTCCTTGCGCAAATGACGCGTGAGCGGCAAGTTGCAACGCAGCACGCCATGATGTCACTCGCAATCACCTGGGAGGACGTGCGAGGTCCGCAGCATTGATTGTTCCAGGGTGGCATGTGGTCTCTAAAAGCCCTGTTGGGAGCCCCGATCCAGACTCTTTCCTGGGAAGCACCATCAGTCCCGAATCTAGAGAAGGCTCCAATGACCGCCTGCTTGACAAGCGAAGTCAGATTGCTGGCGCTGGCGTGCTGCATCCAACAAATTGGAGTCAGCGTGTCAAGATGGGACCTGTCAGCGTTGCAAGGTGCAGTGGAGAAATTCCTGGACATCTTGGCAAACTTGTCATCAGCGTCTTCCAGAAGTCGTGTGCAGAAAGGTCACCCTGAATCGCGAGTCGGTTCCCGTGATTGGGCGACCGAAGTGCCCACCTGCGCCGGTTTGCTGTTGGCCGCGCCCGGCACCTGAGGGCAATGTTTCATTCCACCCCGCCACGTCCTGGACGCCTGATCCGTAAACAGGAGGCCATCGCAGAGTGAGGCGCGTCCCACGAAAGTCTGCAGTAAGGTCCGGAGCTTGATCTTGACTGCGTAGAAATTTATGGGGAGCAGAAGGTGGTTCGTGAAGGTGGCAGCAACAGGCCCCAATTGTCAATCAGGACGCCAGCGAGTCTGGGGCAACCAGCGTTGCCTGGTGTCGACACATGTCGGGGGCTTCGCAAAGTCCGCAATAGCTGCAGCACGCCTCCTGCGCCATCTCAAAGCACTGAGCTGCGGAACGTGTCATCTCGTGTTGCGCGTAGCCTGGCTTTCTCGGAAGTCGAGACGAGGTCAAGGCTGACAATGGCAACAAAAGCTACGGAGCGCACACGGGGCTAAGAGAGCCACTGAAGCGCCTGTGAAAAGAGTCAAGCTTGGTAGGGCAAGGGGTGAACGAACGTCGGGCCTTCCAAGGCATCAAGGTGAGAGCCCCGAAAAGCGCCTAGATCGCTCCATGAAAGACAGGCGATCCAAGAAGCTTTAGTGCTGCGCGAATCTCAGGATGCATTCTGCTCTGGCGGAGGATCCATTCACGGCTCACAACGCTGACAGAATCAGCGCTGCCATCCAAATTAACCAAGAAACAAGGTGGCAGTTTTTTGCCTTGGGCGCTCTTCTGGCCGCTCGGGTCTTGTGTTGGTGGGGCCCACCTCTGACTTTGTCAAGGTGGTTAGCAGTCTACCGAGATCATCTCGCACCTTGAACACATTCTTTCCGATGGCACGCTGAGTTTCTTCGCGATGTGTGTTGTCAACGTGGCTTTCCATGCTTTGTTTCGTCTTTGAGCCATCCGTCGCCACCACTTCTATTGGATTTATTGCGACTAGCAAAACGCGAAAAATGTGCCATGCAGGATACCGTGAATTGTTTGAATTGGCTTTTCCTAATCATTCGGCTGCAAGAATAACTAGGGTAATTGGATCCGAATTCACAACGCACCGTTTTTGAATATTTGGACAAATCAGAACAGTCAGCATACTGAAGCATATTGGAGAAACATGTTGGTCCCCAAAAGGCACATATCGCTTGGGAATGACTAGAACAATTGGAAGCATGTAGGGCTATATGTCACTAACCATTGTAATGTATCCAACTCATAGGATTGATTAGAACAACGAGGGCAAATGGGGTTCTCAGGAAAAAAAAACAGGCGTCTGGAATTCATGATGCAGACGCAGCGGAACGGACAGCTTGAAAAAACGCGCGGCGACGCATAGGGTCAACAATTCTTTGCCACCCCCCTCCATTTTTGTGTTCCCCCCCCTTTAATGGGGATGTGTTGTTTGCTGCCAGGGAAACCAAAATGAAACACACACCCACACCCATCTGGGGACAACCCCATTTGCTCAGGCCTGGACCGCCTGGACCAATCCCTCCTGCGGGCCTGGCTGCGGGGCTTCTGCCACCATGAGGCACCCAGCTCTCTGTCAACCGTTGGGGCACACCCATCCTTTTCACCTAGTTTTGACATATGGGTTTTGTCTCTCAAAGGGAACCCCTTGGTTTGGCTTCTGACAGAGTGCAGGAGCATGGTTGGTTGGGTAGGGTCCATGCATACAGACCAACGATTGAACGGCCCGACACCAGATCTCAGATCCTTTGCAGAGAATTGAAAAAGGCCCGCAGTTTTGATTGAGTGAGCCAGCTTGCTTCTTGAGGTTTCCTTAAGCCGAGTAAA